GCCACTGTGGTATCACTTCTACCAATTGTAGCTCTCCTTACTCATCCCAGCTTCTGCCACATGGTTGTTCACTTTAAATATTTATTAGATGAAGCGATGTTTGAAACTGTCTTCCTAATTTTTCCATTTTATACTCCTTCATGTTCAGTTGAGGTGTGTTTTGGATTTGGTGGTTTTGGGATTTTGATGTTAGTACCCACTGTGTATTTCTGTTTGCATATCCTTGACATAAGCCTTTATACTCGTGCCATGTAGCAGTCAGGCAAACAGAAGTAGATCCTTGGGTGTATTGTTTCCATCAAAAGAGTGAGGTCGCTTCTTGAGGTACATGGAAGAATGAAAGAATCTTATTAGTGCCCCAGTTTCCGTTGTGTAGCTAAAGATTACCTTGTGTATCTGAAAATCTGTATGAAGTACCTTTGACCTATTAGCCTATTTGATTCCCAAAATGATTGCCAACAGCTCAGACAAAGGAAGTCATTACAAGTAAAGTGTAATGGGCAGCAGATTTGTACTCAAAGGGAAATTGTCAGCCCCCATGCTGATGCTGCCCTGGCCCTTCGCTCTGGGCATTTTCTCCTTTGTCTCTGCCCAGGAAGAATCTGCCACTGTTAAGAGTCCTTCCTTGACAATTTTTTTTCCCTTCCAAATAATAAAAACTAGTCTTTCCAACTCATAGTATAAGACATTACAATCATATAAAGTACATATGTAACCATTCTTTTTTCCCCTGGTTTCGTCTATGCACCACAGTTGTCATTTCCATATAAAGAAGAGGACTTCTTAATTTTGCTTAGCATGACTAAGGAATTTACTTAGAAAAGCACTTTAAAGAATCTTTCAAGTTCCGATAGCTATTAGTAAGAACACTCCATGCTTAATTAGATTTGTTCTAGAGAAATTTGTAGCGATGAAAGAAATCCACTTCAATACCACATTAATGAAAGCAGTTGGATCTGCTCAGGCAGATCAAGGCTTTACTTATTAAGAGCGGTTTTGCTTAGCTGCTATTAAATCTCTGGCTGTACATAGGAGATATGATATTAGCACCTCATCCAAGTAGCGACTTGCCCATTTATTTCTAGGCTTTAGCAGCATAAAAATTTAACGTATGCTGTGTGTAAATTCTCAGAACATAATGTGTTGTCTCTCTTCCTCTCTGGAATTAAAAACCTAGTGCCTTGGTTTTATTAGGTGGCATTTCCAGCACTTACAATAGTACTCATCAAACCAAAGGTGGCATTTCCAGCACTTACAATAGTACTCATCAAACCAAAGGTGGCATGTCCAGCACTTACAATAGTACTCATCAAACCAAACACCCATTGCCATCACGTTGATTCTGATTCATCGCGATCCATCTGCAGTCTCTGAGGCTGTAAGTCTTTTTTTTTTTTTTTTAATTTAAAGAGAGTATTTATTAAGTCTTAAAAAGAGAGCAAGACAACACAAAGACACAGACACATTATCCAGATGAGGGAGACCATCCAAGGGCTCGTTGAAATATCAAGCTTTTTTTTTTTTTTTTTAAAGAGATACCAAGCTTTTAAAGGGGCATGGGTGGGCAAAGGAGACTGTCAGAAAGCATGATTGGTAGCTGAGGCTGTAAATCTTGACAGGAGCAGACAGCCTCATCTTGGCTCCATGGAGCAGCTGGTGGGCTTGAACCACCAAGCTTGCAGTTAGTAGCCTTATGCTTACCTGATTCATCATACAGCAGTTGTTAAATCTTTCTGTAGGAGACTGAATTCCTTTGGCCTGCCACAAAGTTGAAAAAGCATTTCCCTGTGTGACCCCATGTGTAAAATAACCCTGGTCCCAAAGCACCTAGGTCTTGTCAGGATTTCTGGATCCCTTCTGGAGCTCTATGAGAGCATTTATGGAAACAATAGGTTTCCACAGTGTTTTTATCTTATTTTGCTAGGTTTCACTGTGCTTCCTCTGAATGAAGCCAAAGCATTGGGAACCACAGTTGCAAAGGAAGCCTGAGTGACCAGTCTCAACGTGTACCCTTCTCCTTGTTCACTTAGGATCTGGGGCTAGCACAGGACTCTGCTACGGACACCAAGAGCCCGATCCTTCTGGGCAGTCTGGCCCACCAGATCTACCGGATGATGTGCGCCAAGGGCTACTCAAAGAAAGACTTCTCGTCTGTGTTCCAGTTTCTTCGGGAGGAGGAGACCCTCTGAGTTTGTCCTGCGGTGTGGACACTGTCGGAAACCAGACTGTATCTTGGCACGTCTCCTTATAGGTCACTCCAGAAGTAAATGGGTTTAGTCAGAAGTCAAATGTCTACTCTAATTATCTAGTAAATCCTAGGACCCTCCCACCCTTTTTTAACTTCTGCTTCTTTTAGGATATTCAGCAAACATAGTTATCTGTATTTCTTTTTCACTCAAGTCACTGATGGGTTCTATTGTAACTAGCTAATTTGCCTAAAAGAACAAAATCGATCTCTGTTTATATTCAGCTAAATCGTTGAGTACTTCAATCAGGATATTATCTACTTTATAAATAAAATATTTTTTCAATCCAGTGAGATTCATCTTAAAGGAAATCAACCGGTGTAAGGAAAGCTGGTAGAAGCAGGAAGTCATGAGTTACTCTCGTAAGAAGTTCATCCTGTTACTCTTCAGGCTTTTGTTGCTTTTGTGCGTTCTGATGACACACTGACTTACTTTTGGACTTCAGAAGAATGACTTCTTTGCACCTGCTCCAGAGCCAGTGATGATATTTGCTTTAGGTAAACATTCTAGATATAACCATATTGTTTTGAATTCAAATAAATTTCTATGCTGATAATACGTGGAGTGTTTGTTTCTGTCTATCATTTGGAGAACAATAAAATAATCTGACAAATCGGTTTTGCAGACTTTTGGAGAAGGTATGGGATGACGGGAAGTCAAAATGAACAAAGTTCTTGGATGGGCAGGGAAAGCCAACTTCCTGCTACCGGGGTCCTTTGGTGGTATTGGGTCACATGGTTTCTAATTTGTGGGACTACAGGAGTTCAGCCTGTACTGAGTGTAGCACTGAATGCCCCAAATACTATGCACTGTTGCCAATTAGTGGCCACTCAGCCCCGAGAAGCATTACAAGTGGTAGGCTGAGCTACCAAACGTTACAGAAAGACTACTATTTCTGTAGTTTTCCTGATAGAAAACACACACCCACAAAAAGCATGTTTTCTAAATGCTGAGGATACAGTAATGAAAGCCACACAAAATCCTTGCCCTGTAGAGGTCTGTGTGTGCATGCATGCGTATGTGTAAGGATGCTGGTGCTAGAAAAGAAATAGTAAGATATAAAGAGAAGTGCACCGCTTGTCTGTCAGTTCGTCATACTGTGATGGCTTGTGTGTGGCTGTGACGCTGAAGGCTGTCACTTGTCAGTCACTGAGTTAGTTAATTTTGCCAGCCTGGCCGATAATCACATGTGGGGCTGATTGAAAGGCGGAGGGATAAATGGGTGGTGAGCCTCGCCTTTCTAGTTCTCGGGTCTCTTGTTTTGTGATGGTTGCACCGGGTGCAGCTGCCTTAGCAGTTCCCTGCTTCAGCTTGCAAGATTGACTTCCTACAAGACATCCCCAAGGAGAAGCTACATGGACCTATCACGATGCAGCCCTGGGTGCTGGAGCAGCCGTGTGGAGACCCCTGCTAGTGCTGAGATGCTTGTTCGTTCACTGACTCAGCTTTCCTCCTGCAGCCGGCATCATTGCCTCTGTTTTGTGAGGTGGAGGACTTTGTGGACTGGTGTTGGGTTAATGGGTTAATGTTGGACTTGTGGGCTTGGGCAGCATTGGGTTGGGATGTTTTCGTGATGCACATTTTCTTTACATAAAACTCTCTTATACATGAGTCGCTGTGGATTTGTTTCTCCAAAGTACCCAGACTAATACAGTCACCCACAGTGAACAGCTATCAGGAAAGCTTCCAGACTTTAAAAAAAAAAAAAAAAACTTTGAACAAAGAATAGGCTGTCCACTTTGGAGGAATTAGCCACTGAAAACTCAATGGATAGAATCGAAATATTTTCGAAAACCGCATGAATAGAAGCAGAGCACTGTCAGATTAGGCCCTAAGATGAGCCCCTCAGGGCAGTAGGCACCCAATATGCCATCGAGGAGGAGCTGCCTTCCCAAATGTGAACCCACCATTTGCTGGTGGGACATGATTCAAAATGAGAAGAAATAGCTGCAAACATGAATTAATAATTTCAACTTGGAATATCTGAAGCATCAATCTAGGGAAATTGAAAGTTAAAAATGAAATTGATCACATAAGAATCTATATTTTAGGTATTAGTGAACTGAAATGGGCGGGTATTGCCCATTTTGCATTGGAATCATGGTTTACTCGGTCTGGAATGAAATTGCAGTCATTGTCAAAAAGGACAGTTCAAGGTCTATCTTGAAGTATAGTGTTGTCTGTGAGAAGATACTGTCTACCATACAAGGAAATCCAGTCAATACACCTATTACTCAAATTCATGCACCAGCCACTAAGCCCAATGTTGAAGAAATGGAATTCTACCAAAGTCTTCAGTCAGAAATCGATCATACATGCAATCAAGATGCATTGATAGATAGTAGCAATTGGAATGCAAAAGCAAATATCATCACTGGCTCTGGAGCAGGTGCATTGATAGATAGTAGCAATTGGAATGCAAAAAACAGAAAGGAACAGTAGCTGGAAAGTATGGTCCTGGCGATAGAAACGAAGCTGGAGATTGCATGATAGAATTTTGCAAGACCGATGACTTCATTGTAAATAACCTCCAGATGGGATACACAGAAATCAAATTGACTACATCTGTGGGAAGAGATGATGTAGAAGCTCAATAGCAGCTAAAACAAGGTCTGGAACCAATTGTGGAACAGATCATTAATTGCTCATATGTAAGTTGAGGTTGAACTTTAAGAAAATGAAAGCAGGTTCATGAGAGCCAAGATAGACGGTAAGTATATTCCACCTGAATTTCAAGAACAGAGTAGTGGCATTAAACACTAATGACAGAAGACCTGATGAGCTGTGATATGGCATCAAGAACATCATGAAGAAAGCAAAAGGTCACTAAAAAGATCAAAGTGAATGTCAGAAGAAACTCTGAAAGTTCCTCTTAATCATAGAGTGGCTAAGGCACTTGGAAGAAATTAAAAGGCAACGAGTTGAACAGAAAACTTCAAAGGGCAGTGCAAGAAGACTAAGTCAAACATAATGACATGTGCAAAGACAAGAGTTAGCAACCAGAGAGGAAGGACACTCGGCATACCTCAAACGGAAGGAACTCAAGGACAGATTCAAGTCTCAAGTTGGACTATTGAAAGATCTGTGGGCCAAAAAGTGAATGGTGCAGGAAGCAGCCTAAGGGAGATGGAAAGAAAACACAGTTGCTGTACTAAAAAGTCTATACTCAACCATATCAAGACATAGTATGTGAGCAAGAACCACTGGTACTGAAGGAAGAAGTACATTCAAGCTGCACTGAAGGCATTAGCCGAAAACAAGACTCCAAGAATTGACAGAATACCCATCGAAATGTTTCAACAAGCTAAGGAAGCACTGGATGCACTTGTCTTTATGCCAAGACATTTGGAAAACAACCATTTAGCCAACTGACTGGAAGAGCTCCATTTTGTAACCATTCCATAGAAAGGTGACCCAATAGAATGCACACGCCAGCAGAGTCACCCAAAGTGAACAGGTTTCAATGGAGCGTCCATTGCAACAAGGATCAGCTGCCCGCTTCAGAGGAAGTAGCTGCTGAAAACTTTGAAACTCGATGTAGAAAAATCCAAAATTCTCACCACGGGACCAATAGGTAAGGTAACAAACAAAGATTGAAGTTGCCAAGGATTTCATCGTGCTTGGATCCACAATTAATGCTCATGGAAGCAGTCATGAGATCAAGGACACACTGCATTAGGTAAGTACATGATCTCTCAAGTGTAGAAAAGCAAGGCTGCTATGTTGAGGACGAAGGTGCGCCTGACCCAAGCCATAGTACTTTCAATTGCCTCAGAGGCGTTTAGAAGTTGGGCATTGAATAAGGAAGACCGTAGAAGATTGGTGCATTTGATGTTGGTGAATAACAAAAGAACAAGCAAGTCTGCCTTAGAAGAGGTACCGCCAGAATGCTCCTTAGAGGCAAGGATGGCAATACTTCATCTCACATCCTTTGGGCGTGTTGACAGGAAAGATTAGTCCCTGGAGAAGGACAGCAAAAAAGAGGAATTTCTTCGATGAGATGGATTGACAATGGGGTCACACATAAGAACAATTGTGAGGATGGCACAGGACCTGGTGGTATTTTGTCCCGTGGTGCATAGGGTCGCTATGAATCGGAACTGATTTGATGGCACCTAACAAGAAAAACAGCAGATTAAGGAGGCTGGATCGGGAATGCAGGTGTATTTTATCCAGGTGGCTAGGGAAGCTTGGCTAAGGTGGCATTTGAGGAGAAAAATGAAGGGAGTGAGGGAGGAAGTCATGCCGATATCTGAGGGTAGAACATAGCAGATGTTAGTTATCAGCAAGTTTGTTCCAATTCGTGTGACTATGCACAGACAGAAACACTACCCAGTTATGTACAATAGGTATGTTTGAGCCCCTTGTAACCACTCGAGCAAGCCATCTCACCGGGAGTCTCCCTCTCTTTTGCTACCCTCTACCAAAAGTATGATGGCCTCTAGCCCCTAGTGATAATATGTCTAAAGAACATGAGACAAAGGCTTTCTAACTTCATTTCTAAGGAGCATTCCAGGGATCTGTGAACGGAAAGTATGAAGTCCCTGAGGTAGATAATACTAGATATGGGTAATGGCATGAAGGCTGTAAGAAGTGGCAGGGGGTGACAAGACCAAATCTTGTAGCACCGTGTTTCCTAAAGTGAGCAATGGCGCCCTCTGGGGGCACTGGACCGATCCAGGAGCATTGCAGAAGTAGATGCCTACCCTTTATCCTGGATCATGAGCTACAGTACAAAAGGTTTTTAATTGCCAGGGTGGTACTGAGTACTTTTCTGAAAGGGAGGCTGCAGGCCAAATGAGTATGAGAAATTGGGAAGAAATTTGTAGGCTATGTTAGGGCGTCGGCCTTTATTCTGAGTGAGTGAGCAGTGCAATTGTCTAGTTTTTGCTGTGTAACAAATAGTCCCGGAGTTTAGTGACTTGACATTTTTCAAGATTTCCTGGGTTGGCTATATGAATCATTTGGACCCGGCCAATCATCTGGAGCAGGAGAGTCTAGTTTGGCCTCACCTGTGATAACTGGAATGGTTGGACCATCTCTCCTTCAAGGATATCAATCCACGTTTTGATCCTATGTTGGCAGGAGAGTTCCCAGCAGCAAATCCAAGTGTCCAAGCCATTTCCCACCCTCTGCTTGCTGGATGGTTGTACTGTTTCACTGGCAACAGCGAGTTACATGCCCAAGCCCAGTGTCAGTGTAAGAGGGGTGTATGGTACACATGAGTGTACGGTACAAAGAGGGGTGTCTGGTGGCCATGTTGCAAACACTCTATCAGAGCCAACCAAAGGAGAATTTGTTCAGAGGGTTGATGTGGACTGACCCTTTTTTGGGAAGGGATCACTCTAAGTGCTTTGTGGAGAATAGATTGTCGGGACAAAGAAGGAAGCGAGGAGACCACTTAAAAGGCAGTTGTAATGATCCAGATGATAGTGGGTAGTAACTTGGACCAGAGTATCAGTGATTGGGTGACAAGTAATGGTCAGAGAAAAACACCACCTGGTCCTGCACCATCCTCACACCTTGTAGTATTAGGGTGAGGGACCAGCCCCCCACTG